TCTCTCTCTCTCTCTTCCCCCCCCCCTCTCCCCCTCTCTTCGCCCTCATCTAAGATTTCACGTACCTTTTTAGCACTTGCGAATCCCTTTTCTCGCGACGTTCACCGACGATGAGCTTACGCTTGATTTGTCGCAGGTGGAGACGACCACGAGGCAACAGCGAACGAAAGACGACGAGGGGATGCAGTGGAGCGAGATCAGTCTTACTCTTCAGCCGTTCCATTACACGAACGGCCGTTTGAATCTACGTTGCATCGCGCAGATACCCGGCATCTTCTCGAAGCAGAGCGAGCTCCATCTCGTCTCGGGTATGCGTGAGCCCGTGCCCGAAAGAGGTAACTAGAAAAAAATTTTATTTTTCTTCCCTCATTGTTGTTGTACTCTAAAAGTTATTGATCTCGTACCTCCTTGCCGTCACGAGTTGCTTTTCCAAATTTGATTTCGCAACTCAAGAATTTCTACGATATCTCAGTTCGATATTCAGTTGTCAATTAGAATGACAACATAAACGTCATTGTGTTCAGAAAATATAAAAGAAATATTGAAAATTTGCTTTTAGTTTAATTTCAACGTTTTCTTGAGTTGCAGTTTAACACTCATAATTTATAACATCACTATCCAGTTTATCTAGCTAACTTGAATGATAATTAATCCTGAAACGTGTATATATTTAAGCGAATATCCAAGATCAGTGTACATTCAAGATCAAGTCCAATTTAGTTCAAATTAGATTATACTAGTTCGGAGAATTAGATTAGGTTTCCCGATATATACCACTTTTGTTTACACACATACCATCGTGTAATGTGGATTTCCTTCGTAACGCATTGACAATTATACTAAATTCATTAGCAACAAAAAAGGAAAAAAGAAAATTCAAGTGTGCCGGACGATAATGGGAAAATTATCACTTTCGTGTGCAATTTAATTTCGATGATTCTGCGATCAACCGACACACACTTCGCGAATAATAGTCGCTCGGACTAACCGAGCCGAGATTAGTCGGTCGGTCGCACGGACTAATAAATTCTGAGAGCGGGGTCCACCCACTCGAAATCGGTAAGGAAGCCTCCGGTGCACGCTGCGCTCGCTTTCCTGCACGCGACGTCGACGAGATTTAATTGAGCGGCCACGGGTATAACCTACGCTCCCATTACCTTCCGGCCGGCTGACCCGTCCTTTCACCCTTTGCCCAATGCACCCGCCGGCATTCCAACTTTCGTCGCCGTGTATACGTGCCGAATCGCTGGTGCAACTCGGATGATTTCTCCGCTCTCACGGTAGATACTCGGCGTGGATGCGAAATAATTCACGATAGCCTAGATAAGTCGGAGATTCATTTTACAGATTCGCAAAATGTAAACATATATAAATTTGAAAGAAAGGAAAGAGATCGCGTTTGTTGCGTATATATATTTTTTTTTAAATGTTAATGCGTCATATTATGTTATTATATTATTATGAAATTGTCTTCCGTTCTGTAAAAATATTTTTATTAGCGACATAATTGAAAATTTTAATTATATCAAAATTCTTTTATGATATTTTCGAAAATAGTCATTGTATTTTTTTCAAAATTATACATAGTCGCTATATTATTCGATATGATTTATGTAACATATAATTTTGCGACGAATTATTTTTTTTTTTACCATTGTATCTTGCAATCCTATACTACAAATCGAAAACTAGTTAAAGCCTAGCTTTGAGCCTGCAGCAGTGTGTTGCAATAGATTGCATTGATGCAATGCACGTTACCAGTGTCCCCGTTGGCAACCCCAATTTTATGATCACATTCGTACCCCGCGGAATCGAAAAGTATCGTCCGCCGATAATCTATATCCTGGTATTTTGAATCTGGCTCTCCAATGGATTCTGCTCAAAATACGGGTGATTGGATACTTCCGTTCGCCCGACGATCGGGAAAATATCCAATGGATTTTTGCGTATTGTGCAATTCGTCCTGGGAAAACAGGACGAATGCATAAGCCCCATTGTATCCCATTTTTTGTCCATTTTATACCTTGCTTATGATACGATATTCCTTGTTTTCAGAAAAAACACACTGGTCTGTATATGAATCCTATTGTTTGCCATTATGTATCGTATTGTGTGTAATGTATTGGTTAATAAATGCCATATTCCTTTTTTCAACACTGCAGTATTTAAATTACTATCGATACAATCTGGCACGCACAAAATCCAAATTTTAATTTTGAAAGTTTCTCTTTCTTTTTAAATCGCAATTATTTCAATACAATATGTTTAAAATTTTCTCTTTTTGAATATTTTATTATTTCATAATAACATTTCTAAAAAAATAATGCTTGAAAAAAAACTTTTTCGCTTAAGGAATTTTAAGAAAAAATCAGCTTAAAGAACTGCCAACAGAGGAAACAGCTGGCATTCAAAATATTAAGAAAAATTCAACACTAAAGTGATCAAAGAATTCACGTATGTGAAGCGTGGCGTGAGAGACTTGAGAAACACTCTATAGAAATTTTAGATCTCATTTCTACGTGGCGGATGCGAGCTTTCGTACACTAAGAGATGTAAAATATTTGCGCTCGGTGTAATATGGAAGAGGAATGTTGCCCGTAGACTTTTTAGTGATTTTCTTCCGCTGAACTGAACTGAAGTTTAATATGTAAAACGTGGGTGCAAAGTAGATGGATGACTTGAAGAAATGGTTGGCAGGTGTTGTCGTAGACTGGTGCGAAGAATGTTCATGAATTCACTGACCCGGAAAACTTCTTATCATATCAACGTTGGACAGCGTTGGCGAACGAATGACGTGTAACGCGTGTGCCGCTTTAACGTATCGAACTGATAAACTCGTGTTATTTCGATATGGCCAATCAACTATGCAGTGGTAAACCAGAGTTATTCCGAGATAGGTAATCAACTATGCTGTGGTAAACCGAAATATCACACGTAATACGAAGCTGTAGTACACAATATTACAGTACCCAGTTGTTAACGATGTAATGTCCATCGTCCACTGCCCTCCACAAGTTTGCGAGTTATAATATTCTCTGAAATGTTTCCCGAATATTTCTCACGTAAGTTTAGTTTGAGACGAGGCGCGGATCCATTAGTCATCACGCGCTGATAAATTCCGTCGCCGGCATCGATAAAACATTTTGACATACAATGTGGGGTAATCCCTTTCCCAACTGTCGAAATACACGTACGTACATTTCGCAATTTGTGAAAATAAAGGAAAGCCATTTGTAGCGCGGAACGAAATTAACGCGCGCGCATTCAATTCCGTATACAGGTTGACCAGTTGCCAGCAGCGTGAATTTAATAAATCGCAGCGGGGGACGGGGGAAGTGTTGCGAAACATATAAAAATTTCGATTTTAGCACGCAGCGGCATTTATCAAAGGTTGTATATGCGTGTTAGATATGACGATAACCGTAATCACTTTTCTGCTAGTGTATTAGCCCCTTGACATTTTTCGTTAAACGTTATTCGCATCTGTCGACCCTCTGTATTGTTAAGCTACCGAAGTTCGGTTCACCTCATATTTGTTTATTTTGAAAAGGCCGGTGGTCTGTATTTCGGTGCGGAAGCGGTACGTTCATTTTATTTTCAATGACGTTTGCCCGATAACATTTAATAAGCGCCGGTCGCATGCAGCATTCTATAAAAGACTGTGACGTTTACAGAAAATAAAAGCGACCACAAAAATGGTATTTTCCGCTACGTTCGTTTTTTTTCATCTCAATAGCTGTCGTTTATATAGAGTACCCGATTTATACATGTGCCATTGATATAACGCAATATGGTAGAATAGCATTAACCCTCTACGCAATGTTATTAACTTGATATGATGCCATTTCCATGTGAATGTTTGGATTCAGTCATTTTATAATATAATTAATAGAAAGTTAGTTATTGTTCCAATAGTAATATAGTTTTAAATATTTCTCGCTTATATATTTTACAACATGTATTTTACTATCTTTCAGTATTCTATCTACGTTAATAATATTCAAAGTAATTATATAAATAAATAACATATAAATGTATTTAATTTAATAAGATTTATTTTATTTGCACAACTGAAAATTTAGTTTGCCAAATTGATAACGATGCTTTTAATACTTTTTAATATTTCATGTTCGTTAATTGAAAGTACATGTAGGCATATTACACATGTAATCGAATTCGCAAATGGACTTGAAATAGAATACGTGTAAAAGCGCCAAACAACGGCACCCATAATTGATTCATGTTGTATATTCGACGATTAATGTTTATTGGCATTTGTTTCGGACGCGGAAGCGTGCATACATTCGGTAAAATCGTTGAAATCCAGGAAACACATTTACCCCGAGATGATGTTATATAATGTCCCGGCATGTATTACGAGATTGTCTCTCCTCTGGAGAGTTCGTTCTTGCAGCGCGGAAAAACTCACGTCGTGTACGCGGAAGTTCAACGGCAGACTGCTGCGGAAGTCTCGTGGATTTCGATATACATCCCTCCGGCTTCCCCCGTCCCCATCCCCGTCTTCGTCTCTCTCTCTCTGTATATACGCCGATGGTACGAGGTACGAAAGATTCGGTACCTCGTTGGAGAAACTTGCTCGGGACAAGACGTCGGTCCTCGCGACGAAACTTCGGCTCTTCTGTTCCAGCTCTCTCTCTCTCTCTCTCTCTCTCGCTCTCTCTCTCTCATTTCCCTCTCGCTCCCTTATCCGTGCCTTCCTCTCTCTGTCCTTATCTGCATTTTCCTATACTCTCTGTCGGCTTCGCGAATTACCCGAGTCTCGGGACGCTAATCTCACGTATATGTACGACGAGGGAAGAAGAAAGGGATTTGAACGTCTTCGGGCCTGAGGGATGCCATCTCGTTTGCAGTCAAAGGTTATACTGCGATGTATCCGTGTGTGTATTTTACGTTTCAGTAAACACGCGAAGATATATAGGTTAGCTGGTAGGATGAAAATAGAGACCGCAATTAAAAATAATTCTACGGCATTTTTCCGCAAATTACTTTTATTATCAGATATTTAATTAATTTGCTCGTATAATTAAAGTACCTTATTAACTTTTTTATGTTGGTCGTTTTTTTTTTTATAATTCAAGGCTGCTATGATTATTCTACGCAATATTTTCTGTCAATTGTGTTTTGACAAACATTGTTTTATAATTTATAAAATTTTTTTATTCATGAATTCTTTGACTCATTTTTTTTACATTTATTATAAAACTATTTTTTTCATTTTAGCTTTTAGTATCTAATATTTAGATTAAATCTCCGACTCCTGAGACACCCTCTGTATCTATGCCACATGTATAATTTTGCACCATCCAAGTCAGGAAGTGCGGATCATGGTAACGCAGGTATCTTGCGCTTTAAGAGTAACTGTTATCAAGGCTTTGCATACTCGATTATCCGGCTCTACTTGTTCCGATGTAAACTGCCAGGTGGAAAAAAAAGCTGCGTGACGCTCCCCGATCGACTAACATTCTGGAAAGCGACGCTTATCGGCTTCTCAGCTTCGCGCGCAGTAGTAACAGCCACTTCTCGTCAGACAGATAGGGAAATATCTCGCGCTGCGTGCAGGCGACACCTGCACGAAAGCTCAGGTGATTGATCACTGACACTCGGTACTATCATTATTGAAAGTGTCATGTAGGTGATCGTTTCAAGACCGATTAGGATAAATCTTTCCACCTTTAGCAACCTTTTTGCGATATTTTAATCCAAATAATGTCCTCTGAGTGCCAACATTTTTTGAAAAAAATTATGGAAAAGAAAATAATGCCCCGAAGCGATTTTATAAAGAGATTCAAGACGTTCAAAAGATAAATCGTTTATTCGTGTCGTCACAAATCTATAAAACTCTGTTTTCAAAGCAGTTGAGCTTCGATTAATGGGCGATATCGTCAAAGAAAATCTGCAGAAAGGATACAACGTCCAAATCAAAACAGTACAGTTATAGAAAATATTTCTTAGTTGCGTTAAATCGAGATTCTCTGTTCTCAAGTTGTGTACGAACCCATCTTCGGATTCTAAAATTTATTGGTTTACGTCGAACTTTACTGAGTTTCTGATTACTTGTGAATATCCGATTAGTTTCGTGCGCCGGAAAATAAATGGATTACCGTAAGACATGGAAAATGAGAGCTTTTCGATTAAAACTTGATCTAATGTTCACATTCAAAGTTTTATATATATATATATATATATATATATATATATATATA